GAGGGATTTGAAAGGGATTGGAGATGGATTGGAGATGAATTGGAGAGGAATTGGAGAGGGATTGGAGAGAGATCGGAGATGGATTGGAGATGGATTGGAGATGGAGTGGGGATAAATTGGAGATGGATTGGGGATAAATTGGAGATGGGTTGCAGTTGGATTGGGGATAAATTGGAGATGGAGTTGAGATGGAGTGGAGATGGATTGGAGATGGATTGGGGATAAATTGGAGATGGGTTGGATAGAGATTGGAGATGGATTGGAGATGGATTGGAGATGGATTAGAGATAGATTGGAGAGAGATTGGAGATGGATTGGGGATAAATTGGAGATGGATTGGGGATAAATTGGAGATGGGTTGCAGTTGGATTGGGGATAAATTGGAGATGGAGTGGAGATGGAGTGGAGATGGATTGGAGATGGATTGGGGATAAATTGGAGGTGGATTGGAGATGGATTGGAGATGGGTTGCAGTTGGATTGAAGATAAATTGGAGATGGATTGAAGATGCATTGAAGATGGATTAGAGATGAATTGGAGATGAATTAGCTTCCTACGGGCCTGTCCTGGGCTGACTGGCACCAAGCCATCAGCACAAGGGCAGCAGTATGCACATCCAGAACCAGAAGGGAGTCAATCATTGGAAAGTTAATTGTCAAGAGATGCATTAGAGATGGATTGGAGATGGATTGGAGATAGATTGGAGATGGATTGCAGTTAGATTGGGGATAAATTGGAGATGGAGTTGAGATGGAGTGGAGATGGATTGGAGATGGATTGGGGATGAATTGGAGATGGGTTGGATAGAGATTGGAGATGGATTGGAGATGGATTGGAGATGGATTAGAGATAGATTGGAGAGAGATTGGAGATGGATTGGGGATAAATTGGAGATGGATTGGGGATAAATTGGAGATGGGTTGCAGTTGGATTGGGGATAAATTGGAGATGGAGTGGAGATGGAGTGGAGATGGATTGGAGATGGATTGGGGATAAATTGGAGGTGGATTGGAGATGGATTGGAGATGGGTTGCAGTTGGATTGGAGATAAATTGGAGATGGATTGAAGATGCATTGAAGATGGATTAGAGATGAATTGGAGATGAATTAGCTTCCTACGGGCCTGTCCTGGGCTGACTGGCACCAAGCCATCAGCACAAGGGCAGCAGTATGCACATCCAGAACCAGAAGGGAGTCAATCATTGGAAAGTTAATTGTCAAGAGATGCATTAGAGATGGATTGGAGATGGATTGGAGATGGATTGGAGATGGATTGGAGATGGATTGCAGATGGATTGGGGATAAATTGGAGATGGATTGGAGATGGAGTGGAGATGGATTGGAGCAGGATCGGAAAGGGATTAGAGAGCGTTAAGGAGGGATTGGAGAGGGATTTGAAAGGGATTGGAGATGGATTGGAGATGAATTGGAGAGGAATTGGAGAGGGATTGGAGAGAGATCGGAGATGGATTGGAGATGGATTGGAGATGGAGTGGGGATAAATTGGAGATGGATTGGGGATAAATTGGAGATGGGTTGCAGTTGGATTGGGGATAAATTGGAGATGGAGTTGAGATGGAGTGAAGATGGATTGGAGATGGATTGGGGATAAATTGGAGATGGGTTGGATAGAGATTGGAGATGGATTGGAGATGGATTAGAGATAGATTGGACATTGATTGGGGATAAATTGGAGATGGAGTGGAGATGGAGTGGAGATGGATTGGGGATAAATTGGAGATGGGTTGCAGTTGGATTGGGGATAAATTGGAGATGGATTGAAGATGCATTGAGGATGCATTGGAGATGGATTGAGAGATACATTGGAGATGATTTGGAGATGGATTGGAGATGGATTGGAGATGGAGTGGAGATGGATTGGGGATAAATTGGAGATGGGTTGCAGTTGGATTGGGGATAAATTGGAGATGGATTGGAGATGGATTGGAGATGGATTGGAGATGGATTGGAGATGGATTGGAGAGGGATTGGAGCGGGATTGGAGAGGGATTGGGGATGGATTGGAGAGGGATCGGAGAGGGATTGGAGAGGGATTGGAGATGGATTGGGGATAAATTGGAGATGGATTGGGGATAAATTGGAGATGGGTTGGATAGAGATTGGAGATGGATTGGAGATGGATTGGAGATGGATTAGAGATAGATTGGAGATTGATTGGGGATAAATTGGAGATGGAGTGGAGATGGAGTGGAGATGGATTGGGGATAAATTGGAGATGGGTTGCAGTTGGATTGGGGATAAATTGGAGATGGATTGAAGATGCATTGAAGATGCATTGGAGATGGATTGAGAGATACATTGGAGATGATTTGGAGATGGATTGGAGATGGATTGGAGATGGATTGGAGATGGATTGGAGAGGGATTGGGGATAAATTGGAGATGGATTGGAGATGGATTGGAGATGGATTGGAGATGGATTGGAGAGGGATTGGAGCGGGATTGGAGAGGGATTTGGGATAAATTGGAGATGGATTGGAGAGGGATTGGAGAGGGATTGGGGATGGATTGGAGAGGGATTGGAGAGGGATTGGAGATCTATTGGGGATAGATTGGCGAGGGATTGGAGATGGATTGGATAGAGATTGGAGATGGATTGGAGATGGATTGGAGATGGATTGGAGATCGATTGGAGATGGATTTGAGAGTGATTGGAGATGGATTGGAGATGGATTGGAGATAGATTGGAGATGGATTGGGGATAAATTGGAGATGGGTTGCAGTTGGATTGGGGATAAATTGGAGATGGAGTTGAGATGGAGTGGAGATGGAGTGGAGATGGATTGGAGAGGGATTGGAGAGGGATTGGAGAGAGATTGGAGATGGATTGGAGATGGATTGGGGATAAATTGGAGATGGAGTTGAGATGGAGTGGAGATGGAGTGGAGATGGATTGGAGAGGGATTGGAGAGGGATTGGAGAGAGATTGGAGATGGATTGGGGATGGATTGGGGATAAATTGGAGATGGAGTTGAGGATAAATTGGAGATGGAGTTGAGATGGAGTGGAGATGGAGTGGAGATGGATTGGAGAGGGATTGGAGAGAGATTGGGGATGGGTTGCAGTTGGATTGGGGATAAATTGGAGATGGAGTGGAGATGGAGTGGAGATGGATTGGAGATGGATTGGAGAGGGATTGGAGAGGGATTGGAGATGGGTTGCAGTTGGATTGGGGATAAATTGGAGATGGAGTGGAGATGGAGTGAAGATGGATTGGAGAGGGATTGGAGAGGGATTGGAGAGAGATTGGAGATGGAGTGGAGATGGAGTGGAGATGGAGTGGAGATGGAGTGGAGTCCACGACTTGCGCAATAATTTGTGGAGTAATTTGCGCAATCATTTTAAGTGGCGTAAGTTGTGGCATAGCGACTGAAAATGGCATATTTCACCAGCAAATTGGGACTGTCGTGGAGCCCATTAATGCACAACTTTTCAAGGTAGATACAAGACATTCATAAACATTATGTTTGAAGTAAACAAATTTCTAATTTTTAGAGTTGCCGATCGATTCCGAAGAAAGTCAGACAAAATAATCATACAGTCTTCATAAACGAACAAATTAACACACAAACAGACGTCGTAAATGCTGCTTTTATCCTCGTCCAAGATGTTTAAAATTATTTAAAACGTTACGCAGCTACACCAAGTTTCGTGAAATCGATGATAAGTTTATTGCGCAGCTGCGCAACAAATTTGTTGCGTATAAAGTCTTACGCATGGCGCATCACTTTTTTGTGAAATCGGCAGCTGCAGTTTTAGCTGAGGGTAGCAGCTCAACAAATCATCATGTCTCTCTGTTAGTCCGTTAGTCTGTTAGTTAGTAACAAACACTGACATTGTCTATTGGTCCAACATATTTTGACCGATTTCAACCAAACCTTAAAAGTCAAAAGTATCAGGAGCCTAGCCCCAGCAACATGTCACATGACCAACTGGGGTCAAAGGTTATCCTGGGTAGCAGCTCAACAAATGAGGGTAGCAGCTCAACAAATCATCATGTCTCTCTGTTAGTCCGTTAGTCTGTTAGTTAGTAACAAACACTGACATTGTCTATTGGTCCAACATATTTTGACCGATTTCAACCAAACCTTAAAAGTCAAAAGTATCAGGAGCCTAGCCCCAGCAACATGTCACATGACCAACTGGGGTCAAAGGTTATCCTGGGGTCCAGGACAAAATTGGTCAAATTTCAAAGGAGCTCAAATGGCAAAAGTAGTCATCAACATGTTGGCCTTGGTCAAACATTTAAAATGAATTCGACATCAGACCTAAAGCTATGGGGCCAAAGATTAAAATCAGGCAAACACAAATGTGTTGGCCTGAAGCTTCTGAGATCCGTTCAAGCTTGTTCCACTGCAAAACTTTTTCAAAAAAGTGCCTTTGAAACAGATTTTGAGGTTTTTATTTGATGAAGGCGTACGACGCTTCACGTTTTTAAACATTTCTGTGAAAGTGCCAAGTCATGAGCAATACAGTGATGTCATGAGCTGGATCTTCAGTGTCACTGCTGATTGGGAACAAAAAGTTACAAAAAAGTTTTGTTCAAGGTTGATGTGACTATTTTGTTCATTTAGCATAAGGCACAGAGTCAGTGCGATACTTTAATGCACAAACTGCTACATGTATGTGTACTTAATGCAAAGAAGCTAAAGTTCATAAATTATTTAGAAAATCCCAAAGCTGTAAATGTTACATCCTAAAGCGATATCACAGCAATATTAGAAATAATGATTAAAGTGTACATGGAACAAGTGCACTGGAAGAAAAAAAAGATTACAAGTATCTAGTTGTCTACCATTACTTTAATATCGACATGAGGCTAGGATATTTGCATGTTTTTTTTGTGAAATTCATCCAATGGCCTTTAAATTATGCAAATAATTATGAAATCCTAACCATGGAGCACAATATGAACTCTCAAAGAGCACAAACTGTATGATTATCGTTATCGAGCGTTTAGTGCTTAGAGAGCAAACTCACCGCAAATCCAAAATATCTTGGGAGGTTTTGGATCTCAATCTTGAAGATCTCTGAGGTGAAATGCTGTTGCGTCAGATAGTGATAAGGATCTGTTTTGGCAGCGCCAGTCGATGGTACGTCAGAGGTGCTGGTGGAAATGTGGGTCAAGACCTGATGGACAAAAAGGAACAAATTAAAAGACCAACTCCGATCAGAGAAAATAAGTTTACTTTGATTTTCTTAAGAATGAGATATTTGTAAGTTTAATTATGAGTTTCCAAGTGAGATACTGCACAACAAAAACAGTTCACAACAGCAACCAGATTGATCAATAAATTTCAAATTTTGAATAAGGAGCATTCCAAAGTTGTCTTAATAATAGTCTTAATATACACTGTAAATTTTAATTGAAAAATCAATGCTACAAAATATGAATGTATTTGTAAAGTTAGAGATAAACCTGTACAAATCTTAATTTGGTTGGTTCCCCAAAATGACCAATTTCTATAGTTCATGTAAGCTGGTATTTTTTGTGTGCGTAATTAAAAACTACCAAATATATATATGTACAAGTAATGCTTTGTTCAATCACCAGTCTGGTATTTGAGCTCGGGGTATGGTTCTCTGATACTTGATACTTTGTTGATGCCTCATAATATTTTGATATTTTTATTTCCCTTTTTTTAATGGGCTTTGTATTAATCAATCAAAGAATGAATGTTTTAAGATATGAATGGCTTTGTAAACTTGGATTCATTCATCAGAAACTGACCAGTTTGACAGTTCAACAAGGTGCACATTTTTACGAAATTGAAACAATGAAACCGTCTTGCAGCAAATTAAGTCATTTGGCCAAAAGTATCAAGTTTTGCAACTGGGCAATTCCACGAAAAAAGAGGAAACGGTATGAAATCTTCCAAACTACAAGCATCACAACGTCAAATGTGGTGTCAAATTCAAAGATACAAGATCTTTCATTTGAGTGGTGTGCCGATGAGATGAACTGTAGTGAGTGATTTTTAGACAAAAACTGGATTTTTGGTGGTCATTTTGGCACTTTGTTTTAACATGCAAAATGTGACTGTTATTGAGAGTTTTTGTGCTTAAGGCAGAGACAAAGGTTCCTATATTATAAGAACAGAGTTTCATTACGTTGCAGTTCATCAAACTCAGATTTGATGCTGTGTTAGAAACCATGAAGATGAAGTAACGTGAGTGATGGTACCTCCCTGAAATCTAATGTCCCTAACTTCTAAAACACACACTTATTTGATTTGCGAAATGATAGTATGCGCATGCGTACAAACCGAAAATCAACAATCAACCATAACGCCTGCACATTTCAAGTGTCAGGTTGGCTCACTGCGGAAAAGGCATATTCTTCATAATTTTGGTCAAAAAGCCAACAGAATCCAGCGATGTTTGCTCTACGCACATTACGTGAGTATGTCATTAGGTACAGTATGGAGTTTAGGGGCAAACTGTGAAGCGGTTCTGTGAAAAATGTCTGTGTTTTGATGGACATTTTTGTACTTACAATATTGCGGAGTTCTGTGTCTATGAGGCTCAGCTCACGCGGAGCATCATAGTTCTAGGAGTACAAAAGTCAGTTTTGAACAGAACTCGTAAAAATAGAGGTGTCCTACAGATAAGGATTACCATATGTTCTCAATGTCACCAACTAGTTGGGGTGGTCGGAAAAAAAAAATCCATACTGGGCCACCACTCAGAGCTCCTGCACAAAGTCTATGGGCCATGACAGAACACATATTACAGTCGTTTTCCTAGTTCCAGATAGCAAACATCATTTAGGCTGCTTTCAGCTCAATTACTCCACGAATTCAAGTAACATTGGTTCAATAGTTTACCTTGAGTGATGGAGATACGACATCATAATTTTCCAAATTTAGGCTTTTTTATTTTGGCTTTACGACGTCAAAAGTACTAATGTCACTTTTCCTAGTTCCGGATCGATTCAATCAGTTCCGAATGGATCAAAAAATCCTCTGCACTAAAAAAAGAATCACACGAGAAAATCAAATTTTTCCAGCCAGAACTTACCAAATCAAGCATATTTTCTGATAAAGTATTCCACCAAATTTAACAAAGAGAAAAACGTAAATGATTTTGAAACGTTGTCTGCAGCGCAACGGCACGAACATACGCACAGACCGAAAATATTTTGACACAGCACTCAGAATACGTACACAAAATCCATTAATGCGCATGTAGTTTGGTTATAAGGGACGAACAAGTACACACGTAAACATTCAATGGAAGAGTTTATACGACTTTAGTGTATCAACAAAATATTCAAAATCACACTGTTCGAGTGATGTACCGAGGAGAAAAGTTTTCTTCGGTTCCCTGCAGCAGCTCCCACGAGTTTCTACAAACCATCCAAACAAGTCAAAGTGCGAGTCGAAAATTTGGCAGAAATTCCTCTTCTAAGATTTTATCAAAAAGATCTTCGTGTATCAAGAAGCTTACATTTTCCTTTTTAAAATGCACTTTGTCAGAAAAAAATATTGGACTCCAATTTGGAGACTAATCCAAAAAAAGGTATGTTTTTATTTGAAGCTATCTGGAACTACTGTAGGAAAAATCCAGATTTTTTGCACTCCTTAATAGTGTTTTTCCATCAGATTTACAACTTTTGGTTCTTTTCAGGTCATATTAGTGCATAGTGGCCCAGTATGGACATTTTCCCTTTTTTAACTAAGCATCTCAAACTTTTCACGAACACACACGACTAGCCCCACTAGTGTGGCCGTCGGTATGCTGCGCTGAACCTAAGGCCACACACCGTGGTCCGCGCACTACTGAGGACGTTTTCATAAAATTTGCAGGGAATTTCTTACATATGGTTGTATTCTACGATGTCCCATCTATCACTTCTGGGATGCTTAGGTGTAATGATGTTCAATTTTCCGAGATATTCTTGAATCTTTCTGGAGCCCATGCACTCGTGAAACGTCCGGTGATGACAGCCATTTTGAATGTGACAAGAGATGACCTCAAGCTGTGACGTCGCGTTTATGCAAATTGCTTGTGGAGCGCGCGAGGGCACGAGTTGCAAATGCGACGGCTGTTTCCTGTGCCGTAGATCCTAAATTGAGATCAGTGCACGTGGCCCCCAGACGATAAATGCATGGTACAGGAAACAGCCGTCGTATTTGCAACTCGCGCCCTCGCGCGCTCCACAAGCAATTTGCATAAACGCGACGTCACAGCTTGAGGTCATCTCTTGTCACATTCAAAATGGCTGCCATCACCGGACGTTTCACGAGTGCATATGGGCTCCAGAAAGATTCAAGAATATCTCGGAAAATTGAACATCATTACACCTAAGCATCCCAGAAGTGATAGATGCGACATCGTAGAATACAACCATATATGTAAGAAATTCCCTGCAAATTTTATGAAAACGTCCTCAGTAGTGCGCGGACCACGGTGTGTGGCCTTAGGTTCAGCGCAGCATACCGACGGCCACACTAGTGGGGCTAGTAATAACACACGACGAAACATCATAACAAGTTACGCTATAAACGCAGTGCGTCTACGGCTACTTCTGCAGTACATTTCACTAAATAAAATAATGCAGATTTCACAAATAGCTATTAAATTCAACCAAATTAATGTTACCTTTAATGAAAACAAACTTGTAGTACTGATACTGACGTAATACTAATAAATAAGAAAGTTTTCAGCCACTCAGACCAGAGTCAGTCGCGTGTTTATGTTGTTGAATGCTGCCCTCATGTGTCGCTCGATTGGCAGCATGCAAGCTGTTTCGAAACCTCGGTCTTCATCGCAGACTCGCAGCTTCATCATTGAACTGGCATCCGTCTTTTTTTTTTACGAGACGCATACGTCTCCCGTAACGGAAGCCTAATAACACCTATTTGTCTCTTCTTATTAGACAACTCACGCTTTCTGAGTAGCTGTGTGGAAATTTCATAATCTTCAAATTATTATAACAGACGAAGCCGTAGCTGGCTTCGAATTTTGGAAAAACCCTTTAAACCACTTTTTGCCTGGAGGGCGCTGTTTAACTTTACGCTGAACACTAGTTATAGTTTTTCAACTTAAAGGGAATATACAACATTTGCAAACATCGAAAAATAAAACTACCAAGTTTTTACGAAATACCTTACTAGGATGTTGGTAAATGACAGTCTATAGCATCCTGTAAAATCATGGCACCTGGTGTGAAGTCATTTTCAAGAAAATGGTATTTTTGTATACATTTCCAACGGTGGTCGGCCGACCACCATTGGAAAAACCTAACTATTTTTCAACTACTGCTCCAACTTTACACTTTTTTCAGTCCAAATTTTGTTTGCTATTGGTTACATGTTCATGAACGGGTGCAGGCCAGCTAGACTGGTTCCCTTACCTTACAATTTTCCGGCATCTGTAAATTGATCCATTTTATCTTTAGTGGAGTCAAGGAACCAGACTACTTGAACATTTTTGTTTTTCTTGGTTTTTCCAGCATTTTCGAACACAAAACTTCAAACATGTCAGTGTAACAATATTTGATCTATTATACTAACCCCTCAAATAGTTCAATTCTGAAAATTACAGCAAAAGCCAATGATGTACCTTCCCTTTAATATTTTCCCCCAGAATTTATTTATGTGATTATTCAAGGCAAAGGAGTTATTGAACATGGCTATTCATTGACATTGGTAGGTACCCAAGAGATTCTGAAAAATTATTTATATTTTGTAGTAGGACTAGGACACCTCGTCGTAAAAATAAAAAAAAAAAAAAAAAAGCAAAATGTTAAATCGCCCAGTTTGAATGGCTGCAGCTCGCTATGGCTAGTGCTAGGATTAGGAGGCTTTTTCGGAAAGATTCCCATATTTGGCCATCACTAATGTTTTCCTTCAGCGACCTATCAGCCATCAGAAAGTGATAATAATAATATGTCCTAAAAAGGGCGATCGTGAATTGAAGGGTCCGGTTCCTAGTATAAGGGAACATTCCACTTTAAAAATTATTAGACCTACCAAACTAGTTGGCGACATTCTCAATCAACAGGTATGTCATAGATAGAGGGCAGGGTTTTGTTTTTTTTCGGGAAAAACACACGTCCTGAAAATCAAGATGGCGATCACCATGTGATGTACTTGAGCACGCATGGTGTGCTGAATCGCAAGGCACAAACCGCGCAGGAAAATCATGTTTTCTACCCCTAGAATCTGTTCAAAATTGCAAAACGGGTCTCACTAGAATGAATTGAGAAAAGTCTGTTTGATTTTAAAGGTGATTTTTGAGCAAAAATATATTTTTGACTCTAATTCGATCAAAATAAAACAGGGGCCCTTCACTTCACGCTCGCCCTTAAAAGTCAAATTTAGCAGGGAATTTATTGGGGTATTTACTGAGAAAACACAAATTTTCAGACCAGTCTCATTCTGCACAGGATGACATTGACAAGTGATGGCCGGATACGGGAATCTTTCCAAAAAGAACATGCTTAGGGGGAGTTAGGGTCCTGCTTTTTGAAAAAAAAGGAAGCGGGAGGCCCTTGTTTTTCTGTCCTCCAAAATGGTCGCCCGACAGGGCTAGTGTTTAAGATGGCTGCCATTTGGGTTTTTTAAAAAATGGCTGCCATTAAACTCAGAAAATTACATACCAGCTTTATATCGAAATGTGTTTATAGCTCCATGATGCAACAGAGACAATGTAAGAGGCCAAAATTAAAAAAAAAAATTGGTTACAAAAAAGAAAGAAAAAATAAAAGGAGCCAAAGGAGCCAGCCTCCAAAAAGGAAGCAGGTAGGGACGCTTAACATGTTTTGTTTTTTTTATTTGGCCTAATTTGTTCCCCCCTCCCCCCACTTTGAAAATTTCTGTGAAGGTTTTGATTGAGTAGAAAATGTGGGTTTTTTTTACTGATTTTATTGGCATTGCCGTTTTATACATTTACATATTTTTTTTTACATCATACATATAAATTTGATTGTTGACATTTTTTCTCATGTGTTTTTTTGCAACTGTAGGCGCATCCATCAGTGCGGATGAAAGGCGCTGAGGCAGACTGGACGCCCATACAATGCACAGACAGGTAGTGTAGCCACTGTTTTACTTTCTCGTCGCAGGTCATGCTACAAGATAACTTTTACGGTCCATGTTTTTGAAAAGATTTGTGAGTTGAATTAATTAACCCTCCATGTTATTTTGGCTAGAAACCCTGCCAAAGGCAGCAACATGCAACACTTGTCTAAGTGACAAGCCTGCCGAGTGCAGCAAGATCCATCAGGTCAAAAGTCTCAAAGCCAAATTGCCTCGGAGTCTGTGGTCCTCGAACGCAGCAGGATACAACTGAGGCATTGTTCAATGGGATTAGCTCTCATTGTTTCAGAACTGGCTGTTAATGCACTGGTGTTGATAGCTGAAATGCAGCAAAGTGCACCAGACTTTTCCACCTGATGCACTGTGCTGCATGTGGCAGGGTTAGGGTTAATTAAGATAAGTTGAAGGTAGTGGACAGCAGGACAAGGTAGTGGCATTTGTGGAAGTTTTATGACATTGACAGATACCTGGGCTGGTTATTCTTAGCAGATATCAGTGTTCGATAGACTCAATTGTCACAGGCCATGCCCAAGCGCCGGCTGTGACTTAGGAAAAACTTTGCATCCGGCCTGCCTGAACAAGAGTCCTAACTCAGGTCAATAGCTTACTTGTGCCTGTTACAGCAAGAGAACCATATAAAAAGATCCATAGTTCATGTTTTGTCAAAGTGCATATAGCTGTCAGCTTTTGTCAAAATTGCCAAACCAATCCTCTACTGTATCCCTCCCCAGGTCTTAAAATATTGCAGTGATGTAGATCCTGCATCGTCCACGGCATCATTCACGAGCAGAAATACTTCAAGGGTGCCCACTGGCACTGCTACCACTGTCACAACGGGTTCAGCAGGAGGGACGAGGCTATGAAGCACTACCAGCAACACTTCCGTAATCCAGAGACCACAATACAGATAGTTATTACTCGGGTACAGTATGTCATGGTCAATGTTACAATCATGTACTTCATTTGATCCCAGTGGGCACATCAGACTGCACGTACAATACATGTAAACCACAATTCATAAATACCTATGGCAGTTGATCCATTCCTATTGGTCGAGAAGCCGCCATGTGGCCGGTCTTAAATGGATGATAAAGACATGGCTGGCTGGTCTTCAACTCTTTTCCAGTGTCACTTGAAATGTTGGCTCCTATGAAATCCAGTGCCTCTTTCCATTTTATTGGTCCTCACGTAGGCATGCGCAATGCTACCAGTGAGTCAGTATTTCATAGTCCTAAAATTCACAACGCAACACCCCAGGTGCATTTTTGCATGACATCGCGCAGTATGTGCGATGCGTGCACCAATCTCCATAAAAGGAGTTGTTAACATCTTAATCGCGAGCTGGACACTCCATTATTTAGCTATAGAGGGGTGTTAAAAAAACATGAAGTGAACTTGTTGAGCAAAATCAGTTGTTTTACCAAAAGGTTTGGATTTTTTTTGACAGAATAGGTATTTATGAATGGGAATAAATATGTGCTTGGTCGGTATTTAAGTTTAAGACCGCTTGGAGTCTGGGTGCTGATAAATACCATCGCCTTCGACTCCAAGCGGTTTTAAACAGAGTGATTAAGACCTTCCAAGCATACTTTTATTCCCTTTAAACTGCATCAACAGTGATAAGCTATTAAACATTGGCACAGGTGGGTAAACTACCATGGTTCACTCAGAAAATGTTGTAAATTCCTGATGCTTGAATTCCGGAGCTCATTGGACTTATTTATAGCTTTAAAGACTCTCTGAAATGAATTTCACAATCAAACATTTGACTCAAGTATTTATTCTTTTGAGAATGATTAGAGACACCCTTTTGGCTTAAACTGTTTGAAAATGCACTTATTTTTTTAACCTTCGCAGTTTCAGTGCTGTTTCAAGACAACTGAGTATGCCGTTGCTGTAATGTAATGGTCCCCTTTAATCTGCATGAAAATAAAACAAACGATGAAATAAATTTCATCAGTTGAAATTGATGTACCTTGTGAGCAGGTATGGTGGTTTACAAGGATTTTGGTGGATTTTATCAAATGCCAACACTTAGGATCTTTTAAAATAATTAAGTTTGAACTTTAATTTTTCCCTGTACATTTGCAGTGTAAATTGAATCTTTTGCAACCCTGCAGGTTTTGTCTCATTTTATCATCCTCAACCACTTCACTCCACCATTTTTACCCAGGATGTCAACTAGATCTTCACCACATACACTGACCCAGCACCCAACAGTACCAGCCTGGTAACACACCTCATAGTCCCCCAGTCACAGCAGCCATCAGAGACGGACACATCATCCCCGGGGCTATGAGCAGACTGACGGGCAGCAGCCGCAGATCGAGTACCAGTATGCCTGCATCAATGATCCGAGCCAGAGCACTGCCAATGGGGAAGGTAAGATGGTAAGAATATTAACCCTGACCCTCCAAGAATCCTTCAGCATCTACCCAGAGGTTAAGGTGGATAATGCCACCAGCAGTGAAGGATAATTAGAAGAAGCTGACCAAAAAGCCAAGGGGGAGGCATTTGATGCAAGGAAGAACTCTTCCCCCCCCCCCACCCCCACCCCCCACCCCCACTTTGTTTTCAATTGATATATCATGAATCCATATGGAAGAAGGGAATGGGTAGACAACAACATGTTTAATACAGTTGTCTTCACTCCTGCACTTGTTTGGTCAATAAAATATGTAAACAACAACCAAAAGTTCAGCAATTTTTTAGGGGGTTGGGGTGGATGAGGGCCAATATTGACAGTGGATTTTACAGATTGAAATTACAAGGTGCAAAGGGTGTGCCATTGGTG